TATGTGTAAGATATTACAGTGCAAGCTTTTAAATGAATTGTTTGTTCCTTAATGTTCCCACAACGGACACTTGTGGCAAGCCAGTACTTTTGACAATTCTTCTGTGTGTGAGAATTACGATGTCATTGGTAAGAGTGGCAACTAGTGCTTGAGCCTGGATGGCTGACTCAGGTATGATCGTCATGATGGCTACATCACAGAGGAACTGTCTATACCTGGTGTAAGGTCATGACGAACCCATAACCGCTTGTCATCAAAACTGACTGCATTATTTTACAGTACAGTTAGTTAATTTAAAAATTTTCATAAATACTTTGCATATTGTTATGTAACTTAATCAATAGTGGGATTTATTTATTTTTTTAATAACTAGTATCATATTTGAGTAACTAAACAATTTTTCCTGTACAACACAACACTACACACATATATGAACACCATAGTCTATAGTATTTGTTAATATTATTATTCATAAATGAAAAAAAGAGAAAAACAAATACAGTGGAGAGCTCTGAGTTAGGTACTGTTAAGGATAATTTTTTATTTACATCTACTGCCATGGAAGTGATTGACAGCTTTCAGCGTGCTTCAAAAATCTGCTACAATGAATTCATGTATACCAAGCATGTCACTTGTAAAACAAAGTAACTGCCATTTGCGCAGTTAAATGATATCTACAAAATCGATAATTTTGCTGAGGAGTTGCAGCCCTAGTTTGAAATGTGGACACAGCATCAACATTCCCAGAAGAAAACCACATCTGATTCCAGTGCAACCTTGTCCTTGATGGATCTTTTGAAGCAGTGTGATTTGTTTCCTGCTATTCAAGAAGCTCTACTGATCTCCTTGACACTTCCAGCTTCAACTTGTGAAGTAAAGCGGTCATTTAGAATACTGAGACATGTCAAGACATGGCTTCAATCAACAATGTCAACTGAATGCTTGTCTAGATTGTGCATGCTCAGCATGCATCACCAGAGGGTGCTAAATAAAAAGAAAGTCTTCATTGAAGATGTGATTGATGGTTTTGGAGCTGATAGGTGCCACCTACAGTATTTATTTAACATTTGAAATTGCACTGCTATTTTTTTTTTCATTTATTGGGCACCCCCCTACATCCTTGTGTAAGGTGAAGCGCAGAAGCGTTTACAGCGCACAACAGGGAAGCATGCTAAGTTCATGCTTGCCTTATGTCTCATGAGTTAAGGGCGGAGAAGCATGAAGAGTCAATGGTTTATGTCTAAGCAAGTTATTGGAAGTTCCAACAACTTGTCCCTGAATACGAATTTGCAACTTTCGACTTACAGCAGGTACCTACTTTGCTACTAGGTGAACAGGGACGTAGGGGACTAGGAAGAGTGTCCAAACAACTTCCGCTGGCCCGGGAATCGAACCCGTGACGTCTTGCTTGCGAGGCAAGAACGGTACCGCTCTACCACCAGCTCCCTAATGTTATGAGCAAGTCACAATCGTGACAAGACAGCTAAAATTGACCATCCCTAGATTTTCAGGATTAATGATATCAAATTAATTATTTTATTTAGTTTTTAATGCTTAAGGTCAACCCTATGAAAATTTTAGAGATTAAAGAATAATTTGGTGATAACACTGATAAGTGATATTGTTAATCATACAAAACTCGAAAGTAACTCGATTATACAGTACTTGATCATACTTTATACGGATGTAGTATACACCTATTTTGAAAAACTGATATGGCAGGCCTTGTCTTGCTTTCATGCATCCTCCTGGAAAATGTCTTGAGGACACCCATGGTCAGGTTAGATATAACAAGGGTTCAAAGGACCTTGGAACCATGAACCTAAAATATCAGGTGTACCACATTTATGTACAGAATGCAGGACCATAAACCTGAATTATCGTGTACAGTACTACATCATAAAACACTTTTTGACAAGAACAAAGCACAGTACTGTCCCACAGACTTTAAGAACCAACAATAAACAGATATTAAATGGTTATAGCATTACCTAAAACACAATATATATGCTGCACAGTAAAGCCTCAATTAACGACGGTAAAGTGTCCTCTAATATTGCAGTGTAAGGTGAATCATTGTATCATGAATCATATTTACCATTAAAATATAGCAATAATAATGAGATGCATTCTCCAGTGTGACCTTTCATAACTTTTGCGTGGCTTTTAACCCTCTTTTCCCCGATAACAATACAATTAATGAAAAATGCCAACTATATTCTTTAAATAATGTTTATGAATGCAGCTTATACAATATAAATCAATAATAATAAGATCACACAAGAGGAGATGGGACGCTATTGTTGTTGTCTTGTTTACACCCATAATGTCAGTTATCCATCTGAAACAAGAAAATAAGACCCTGGTTGTTGCTATAGTAAATTTAATGTAAAGAAATATGTATGTTTTAATTAATGTTATTTAATGTACAGTAAAAGTAACCATTGACATTAGAGAAAAGGGGAGTGATAGTGGAACGGCAATGTATACTTGTGCCCTCAAGGAAACCGCGTCATTTATCTTATTAAGAATATGTACAAGACATTCATTATTGTTTATTACTGAATTTGTATTTGATTGAATTAATGTTTATATATGCAAAATGAACAATGCAATTAATTAATAATAAGTAGAATATTATAACACACAAGAGGAGAGGAGACAGCATTGTTTTCGTGAATGTTTACAACACCAGTGACGAAGGACGATGGTTCTACATAAGAAACTGAAGAAAATAAAACCCTGGTTGTAGCTGTAGTAAAATTAATGTAAAAAATTAATATGTATGTATTCAGTAATGTTATTTAGTGTTAATAAATGGAACAATAGAAGTAGCTAACCATTAATGGTAAAGAAAAAACAAAATAGATTGGGATTGCCAACGTATGTGTGTACAGTATATGTAAAAACATCGTCAATTCTCTCCATAAGAATATGAAAGCAACACTTATTCCTGTTCATATATGTTTTAAATAATACTTACAAATGAAAAACAAAAAATCAACTCACAAATGGTGGTAAAGTTTAAAACATAAGGACAGCCAATGAATATTGTGCGAGTTTTTACTCAGATGATTTCATCAATCAGTTTCAACTCTGGCTGAAGCTGAAGCTTTCCATAAAGATATCATAGCTGTTGCTGAAACTGTTACTGAACCTGAAGTTGCTTATAATGCTGAATTTGATGGTGTAGCTAAAGTTGATGGTTTAGGCCTTTGAATAATAGAGCTGTCGAAAGAAACTTTTTCAGCGGCTTTCTTTTCTTATTATACTTCTTTATGTAGAGGTCATATGTATTTTTAACATCCCTGTTAATTTTAATGCTTTGTTCTGTAAATGGATCCACTTCAGAAAATATGTTCATTGCTTGCTCCATATAATATCCACAGACCTTTCATCTTTTTCATATCGTTTTAGCACATCTAGTTTCTCGGCTAAACTTTTACACTTTCTTTTAACTTTTGAACCATCACTACCATCACTTGCTCATGTTGAATAGGAACGCAAAAAATGCCGTAAGAAACCTGAGAATGTTTTTTCTCCTTTTCCTGTTCAGATGAGTGAAAACAAAGGGCCCGCCAGCTGCAACTGTTTATACTAGTGATGCGGCTTCACCACTCACAAGCCCGGCAGCCTCTGTGCGCAAAGCGTGTAATTTTGTTTATTTGTATAACACATATCGGGATTTAGTTATTATTTATATGAAAATGTAATTTTACTTTATTTTTTTATAATATTTTCGTCGTAAATACGAAAAAAATAATGGTGTAAATTAAATTGGGTCCTAAATTAACCAGGCTCTTAAATATGAATCATCGTTAGTAGAACCGTTGTTATGGGAGGCTTTCCTGTACAGTGGTCCCTCGGTTAACGAGCACAATTCGTTCTAGAAGGTTGCTCGTTAACCGAAAAACTCGTTAACCGAAACCATTGTTTCAATGGGTTTTTGGGTAATTGGTTCCAGCTCACCGAAAATTGCCTAAATTCAACAAAAAAGGTAGAAAAGTACACATACTTTGAGGTGTGTATGTTGAAGGCTCCTGGATGATGATGATGATGGGAATTAGAATGGGGGGGTGGAGGAGAAGGGAGAAGAGAAGGCATTGGGGTGGAAGAGAAGTCACCCCATGGTGCCATTTCACCCATAAAATTTTAGTTCACTTGGTGTAATTCAAGATTATTTTCTTTAAATCAACACAAACATATTTCAAAATGACCAATAATTTGACTGGAAACAGAAAAAAAGCGTTTATGTTGAAGAGTCTCAAACAGGATGTTCCTTCCTCTGAACCGATAAACAAACTGACGCCAAGCTTGGTGTGTTGAGTGGCTGTTTGGCGTGCAAAAAACTAGTTTCCTGTACTTCAATTATGTTACAATAATTGGTAAAATGACTAAAAAATTTAATATAAAACTTTTAAAATTATTGAATAGTATAAACTTCTTGATATTTGCTAAAATGGTAAAGAATTTAAGCCCTAAAACCGATTACTGTATTGGCGGACTAATACTACAGCTGGTGAGCAGCCAAATGCAGGCGAAAACATGTCGGGAAAAATTCTTAAGGAATTCGTTAACCGAAATTTTTTCGTTAACCGAAGTGAAGAATCTTATGGAAGGTAATTCGTTAACCGAAATTTCATTAACCGAGGCGTTCGTTAACCGAGGGATCACTGTATGTACTACTAATAACCCAGAGGTGATGCACATCCAAAAAAAAAAAAGGTTTTGATGAAATTCAGACTTTTTCATAATACTACAGTAGTTCATTTAAATCTGCAGGGAAAAAGTAAAAGGCATTTTGGAAATATTCCAATTTAGTTTCAGATAACTAGCTTAAAAATTTCCTGAAGGATTCCAATATGACGAGTAATCAAACATAAAAGGCATGTAATAAATTCTAAAGACCATATGAAATGCAGGTCTGATGTCTCCCAAGGAGGGATACACTGAGTAAACATCTGACATGAGAGATATTATTATACTGTATTTTAACTTACTCTTATCAGAACTTCATCTTCAGTATCTGATGACTGTTTTTCCTCTTCCTCCAGTAGTTGTTGTTGTTGTTGTTGCATCAACAAATTATGTTCACGTTCTTTGTGTCTTGCCTCACGCCTGGCTTCCCGCTCACGCCTTCGTTTCTCCTTCCTTTCCCTCCTTTCCTGCTTCTCCCTCTCCTTAGCTGCAGCAGCAATTTCTGGATCCATCATGGTTTCACCAATGCTTGGCATTTGCTGTATAAATTTTTTTTATTAATGAACATAAAAATGTCATATTATTTATTACAGTAGTCAATACTATACTGTGCTAATGTATCCCAATAGTTGCATAACTATAGCTGGTTACATTACAGCATTTTAAATTTATCAAGATATTACATGGGTAATTATTGGTAAACAAACCTGTTGCAGTAGAGATATTATCCGTGCAACTGGCAGCCCTGCAGCATGAGCAGAGGGTGACAGAGTAAGTAAGGACTGCGTTGTACCTGCAGGAGTGGTGGGGGGAGTTAATGAGGCAGTAGGAGCCACCTGAGATACAACAGGTGAAGCTATAGAGGATGGGACAGGTACTGGAATTACTGAAGATATAGACGATGGGACGGAGGATCTGGCTGCAGGGGATGTGTCACTGGGTGATGCCAGGACTGAGGTGGGAGTAGAGGCAACGGGAGCAGGAACTGGAACTGGTGAGGAGCCAGACATGCTCACCACACCTCCAGCCATGACCTGCATCACACTGCTCATGCCCATCAATCCACTATTGGACACCGGGATACCTGGCACCACTTCTGCCCCCAGCATCTGCATATTCTCTGCTGGCACTACCTGTAATGTGCAGTTATTTAACCAGTTTAATAAGATTCATAAACTACAAAGCAACATACAACCTAAAATGTAGAGCAATGATTAATCAGCAAAAGAGACTCACAAGAACACTGAGGTTATACACAATTTTTCCATTCATAAATGAGAGGCATAAATAAAAATCTTTCCCAAGCATTATGACTGCTAACAATCTACATCTTCAGTTGCCGAGCTAAAAAGAAGCAAAAGATAGTTTACTGTACTTCACATTGATTCACTATTTTACAATGAGAAACAGTTGCCATTTACAGTACCTGCACTACAAAATATGATTAAATGAAATAAAAGGTGACTGCATACCATAAGAACAGAAGACCAATATGATTAAGAATATCACTTTACAATACGAGGTCCAATACAAAAATAACGAGACTGACCCTATAACTCGGGAACCAGGCGTGGGAGGGGAGGAACAAAGAAACAGTTATTGAACATGTTCTAACCTGTCACAGTGTGACAGGCTCAACTCGATCGCTACACTCAGTACAAGTGGACGCATGTTGAAGTATAGACGTGTTCTTATGCTTGGTCAGAAAATGTCAGACTGCAAAACTGAGCAACGAGTTAACATCAAGTTTCTCTTTAAACTTAAGAAATCCGCAATGGAATCTTTTCAATTATTGACTGAGGCTTACAGTTTTTGAATAGCACAAACGATTTTTGGAAGGCAGAGAAACTGTGAAAGATGATGACTGCCCAGGCAGTCCACGCACAGCAATTAGCGATGACAACACTGAAAAAGTGCAAATGTGATTAAAAAAAAACGCAGGTTGGGTGTTCGAGCAATAGCTGAGAAAGTTAATTTGGATAGGGAAAGTGTTCGACACACTCTAACGGAAGAATTGAACATGAAAAAGGTTTGTGCAAAAATGGTTCCAAAAAATGCTGTCAGATGAACAACGCGCCAGCCCACAACGCTTTGTCTGTGACCCAGTTTTTAGCCAATAAAAACATCACTGTGCTTGAGCACCCGCCCTATTTGCCAGACCTGGCTCCCTGCGACTTCTACCTCTTCCCAAAGATCAAGTCCGTGCTTTGAACTGCGACAGCATTGTATGCAGCTGTGTGTCAACTCCGAAGGGAACTACATTGAAGGCAATCACAGTTGATTTTCTTAATTTGGTAAATAAAAACTTACAGCACCAGTCTCGTTTTTTTTGTGTCGGACCTTGTACAGTAGAATGTTGATTTAAAGTGATTCAATTTAATATTATTGATTTAAAGCGACACCCACAATTAAGGCCAATGTTTAAATTTAAAGCGAATCTTTCCTATTTTGCGCGAGTCAACCCGGTGCATCATATTTTAAAATTCGCGCCTAATGTTTCTCTGGGCACGCTACACTGTCCTAAGGACAAAGCTGTACTGTACATGTACTCAAAATAATGTACTAAATAATTACCAAAATTTTTGTTTAGTGCAAACTATAGCATGATTATATTCAAATTAATCACTATCTTATAAGAATTCTAGCAATGTAAATTATATTCTCCCCGGTCACTTCTGTGACATTTTATAAACAAAAAACAAAAACTAAATCTACAGGACATAAATAAACAAATAAATATTTCACTAGACCTTCAGCGCCAACTGTCAAACATGTCACCTCCCCTCCCCTCACTCCCTCTCCCCCATCTTCCCAGCCAGGGTTTGGTTGTTTTAGGCTTTTAAGTTTTTATCTTATATAATATCACAGACTAAAGTTAGGAGAATATAATTTGCATTGCTAGAATCCTTGCAAGACAGCAAATAATTTGAATATAAATGTCATATATTTTGTACAAGAGATAAAATTTTTAGCCATTTGTAATAAGTTTCCCAATAAAAACTAAAATTTGTATGTCTAATGCGAACTATAGCATGTTTATATTCAAATTAATCACTATCTTATAAGAATTCCAGCAATGTAAATTATATTCTCCCCGGTCACTTCTAAGACATTTTATAAACAAAAAACAAATACTAAATCTAAAGGACATAAATAAACAAATAAATACTTCACTAGACCTTCAGCGGTAACTGTCAAACATGTCATCTCCCCTCCCCTCCCCCCATCTTCCCAGCCAGGGTTGGGTGGTTATAGGTTTACAGTTTTTATCTTATATAATATCACAGACTAAAGTTAGGAGAATATAATTTGTATTGCTAGAATCCTTGTAAGACAGCGAATAATTTGAATATAAACGTCATATATTTTGCACATGAGATACAAATTTTAGCCCTTTGTAATAAAATTAAATAGAACAGGTCAGTTCAGTGACATTTTATAAGAGAAAAACTTAAAGTCACTCTTAAGGACAGATAAATAAATAAGCACTAGACCTTGGCATCAACTGTCAAACATATCACCTCATCTCTCCCTCACCATCTTCCCAGACCATTTCAAGTCCCATAATTTTAGCTGTGTTGATTTATGAGTGTTTGTTTTAACATGATACTACAAAAAACAATGTTTTGTTTATTCTAGGAGATGGGCTGAGGTGCATCTGGGTAGACTCTCAGTCTTTTTAGTATTTTGTGTTTCTCTCAAGTACCAAACTAAATTATTCCATTGAAACAAAACTTCGATTTAGTGCGATTTCGGTTTAAAGCGATCTCTCTTGGAACGTATCTCGTGTTATATTGACGTTCTACTGTATACAGGTACACTATATGCCTGTTAATGTAGCTTTGCTGAATGTACTTTTACTATAATGTAGTTGACAAATTACAGGTTGACAACTCCTTATTCGAAATTCCCAAAACCGAAAACCCCCTGAAAAACGAAAGTTTTTCAAGTGAAGCAAAACTTTTTTATTTTTTTTATTTTTTATTTTTTTTACAGGGATCAGCCCACCCGGGCACAGGTCATCAACCCACATTGGGGCCTGGGGGCGAAAATGTACCACAACTAATAATTCATAGTAAATAAAATATCTAATAAAAAATACACAAAAATAAAATAATGATAATAATAATAATAATATTAATAAAATAATAATAAATAATAATTATAATAATAAAGAAATACAAGAATGAAAAAAGACCAAAAGTGAGAAACATGACCAATATCTATGAATTATTATTATTATTGTTACTACAGTGATCCCTCGGTTAATGAACGCCTCGGTTAATGAATTACCTTCCATAAGAATCTTCAATTTGGTTAACAAATTCCTTACGAATTCTTCTCCACATGTTTTCGCTTGCTCACCAGCTGGAATATTAGTCCGCCAATACAGTAATCGGTTCTAGGGCTTAAATTCGTTACCATTTGAGTAAATATCAAGAAGGTTGTACTGTACTATTCAATAATTTTAAAAGTTTTATATTAAATTTTTTAGTCATTTTAACAATTATTGAACATAATTGAAATACAGGAAACTAGTTTTTAGCGCGCCAAACAGCCACTTGACTCATCCAGCAGGCGTCAGTTTGTATCTCTGCTCAGTGGAGGTAACATCTTGCTTGACACTCTCTTGAACATAAACTATTTTTACATTTTTACAGTACAATTATTGGTCATTCTGAAATTTATTTTACATATTGACAATATATAGTGCAGTGCAGTGTTGATTTAAAGAAATTAATCTTGAATTACACCAAGTGAACTTAAAATTTTATAGGTGAAATGGCGGCATGAAGCATGGGGTGATTTCTCTTCCACCCCACTTCCTTCTCTTCCCCCTTCTCCTCCACCCCCACTTCTAATTCCAATCATCATCATCAACCAGGAGCCTTCTACATGCACACCTCAAAGTAAGTGTACTTTACTGCATTTATTTTCAGTTTGCATGTAATTTTCGGTGAGCTGGAACCAATTACCCAAAATCCCATTGAAACAATGGTTTCGGTTAACAAAATTTTCGGTTAACAAATGACCTTCTGGAACAAATTGTGTTCGTTAACCGAGGGACCACTGTATTATTATTAGTAAATTTTTGTCCCTAATCTAACCATTCTGAAATCCGAAAAATTCAGAAACCCGAAACACATCTGGCCCCAAAGATTTCGGATAAAGGATTGTCAACCTGTACTACCGTTTTTCACCTTTTTGTAGTACATTACATTGTTCTCCTTTAGAGTACAGTACTGTACTGTACAGCATGCCCTTCAAATTCGCGAGGTTAGGTTCTCAAAATGGCCGCGAATCGCCAAATCCGCGAATAACATTTGCTGGAAACCCCCCCGGTTACATTTTTACTTGTGCACAAAGAAATGTAGTATATTCCCTGTATGTGATTGCCCTTTGAACAATTATTTCTTTTACCTGTATTGTATATGTGTGTGTAGTCATGAGAACACTGGCTAATAAAATCCAAATCAACCTGAAACTTGATATTAAAAAACTCACCTGAATAACATTACCCGTTTGCACAATCATGGGTGAGTGTGAGGCAGGAGCTGAGGGGTCTTGTGGGAGGACCTGAAGCATGTTGCCCACTTGGATGACACGGGATGTCCCCTCACTGCCCCCATTCTCACCCCCTGCGTTACCTCCTTCACTACCACCATCATAGGCATAGTGGAACTGATGGACCTGGTGTAAGTGGATGGGAAGAGCATTATATATTTACAATACATTACTGTACAGTATATACAATTAAATTCTATTGGCATTATGATCCATATACTGCACACAAATAAATCTTAACAGATAAGCTCAGCATGAAAATCTAAAGTTCAGGCTTTCCAACAAACATATCTGCACTCATAATTTTTGGCACATGATTTGATGAAACACAATTACTGTACAGGAATATATAGAATGTATGTCAACAGTACAAAGTAGACAAAGCTTTATAAATCTAAGAAACTTGAAAATGTGACAAAGTGCAAATTCTGAGGCAAAAAATATACAGTATCTCTTAATAGGAATGAAACAAACAAGATGCCCACAGGGTCCAGGGCTACTCACCTGCAGGAGGCTAGATTTTGCAGGTAAATTCACTACAGTAATCACAGTGTTTAAAAAGAATAGCTTATCCTGAAATTCCTTTCTCTAGCAAACCCCGTGGTCAGGCAGCTTCTTGTAATGAAGGTAGCCAACCAGGCATTCTTTATCCTCAGTAAATCCTGAACCATTCAGCCCAAGGTAGATGTTTTAACCCAGAGTGGTAAATCAATAAACCATCCCTCATTATTGCCACAAAATGGAGAGATAAACTGTTCATTAAAGACAAGAGACCTTGTAGTAGTTGTTTCAGACAAATCAACATACAATATTCTCTAGCAAAAAGATATGACTCTACCAACTTATCTCATCTTGTTCATGTCAACCTTCCAACTCTGATTCAATTTATACTCAGTGAAGCAAGAAATCCCTGGGAGAAGTGTCTTTGAGCCACCTGGTTATAACCCCCAAAAGGAATTCTAGAATTAATTCTGCCACATCCCTAATAGTTCAAACATGTTTCAATAGTGATGTTGAAAGCTTCCTTCTACTACTACTTTGTCATCACACATAAGTGGATGAGCGGCAGGATGATTTTACCCAATTGTAGTTCAATACATTCTCTCATAGCTTTATTATATCACTCAAAGACACATTTACTAACTTTTAACTGACAATTAAATTTTCCCAAGCAAACTTAGGCATAAAAAAAAAAAAAATCTATTTAAATATACTGTACCTGTACAGGACGTGCTTGGTAGCCCCAGTTGTACAGATGTGACTGTGAATGCTGCTGTTGTTGCATTTGTTTTTGTCGCTCTTCTTCAACATCAACTCCATGTTCTTGCTGAAGTCGCTCATCCAACGTGAGTCGCCGAGGTGAGTCCCGAGGAGAGGATGAGGTAGATGAATCCCTAGTGGCTCGGCCATACGGTTCTCTTCTACTTGACAGTTCAGAATCACTAATTGTTGAATCTGCATCAATTTTAATGGTACCTTCACTGCGATTAGTGTTTTTGCTAAGTTGTGTATAGTATGGTTCTGCTGAAGCCTTTCCTCTTGGACTATGAGGATGGTCAGACCAGCGTTCATGGTCTTTATGCTCTTGTTCCTGTTCTGATTCTCTTTCTCGATCCCACTCCCAATTATTCCAACCCCTTTCACGGCGTTCATAATCAAATTCGTCGTTGTTGGGCGATGGTGATCTCCGAGGAGATCTGCGTGGTGATCGTCGTGGTGACCTTCGAGGGGATCTCCTTGGTGATCTTCGAGGAGACCTACGTAATGGTGACCTACGTAGAGGTGATCTCCTTAAGGGAGATCTTCTCATGGGGGACCTCCTTAATGGAGACCTCCTCAGTGGTGATCTCCTCATGGGAGACCTTCTCAAAGGAGATCTCCTTAATGGAGATCTCCTTAAAGGAGACCTTCTTGGGGATGACCTCCTCATAGGAGATCTACGAATTGGAGACCTACCTGAAGGAGATCTACGAATGGGCGACCTATGAGGTGGAGATCTACGGGGTGACCTGTGATGTGACAACCTCCTCGGAGATCTGTGGGGGCTCCAGCGACGTTGAGGACTCCGTTGGTCTCTTCCCGGAGAGTACTGCGGGCGGTGCTCAGGACTTCTGTATTGAGGACTTCTCCATCCTGGACTCTGATGATGTTTTCTTTCAGGACTCCAGAGAGCACTTCTGTGGGCAGGACTATGATGGCGGACAATACGCCCCTCTGGACTCCGTGAATCTGGGCTGCAGCTCAACCTATATTCCTGTCTACCTATGCGACCTTGAGGACTTGAGTACATCCTCTGATCCAGGCGCATCTCTGGGGATAATGATCTTTCAGGTGTTCTCTTGATTAGCCTTTCTCCACTGTGATCTCCATGGAATCCTCTTTCATGTAGTGGTGAAGCAAACTCCCTCCTGGGTGACCTTTCAGGCCCATCATTTGTTGCTCTCTCAGGGGTTCTGGGTCCATGAAGAACAGTGGTTCTCACTTTATCTGGACTCCTGCTATGTCTAGAGTCTGGACTAGAAAAGCGTGACCCCAATCTGTCATCCCTTGCAGGCATCGGACTAGGACTGTGAAATCTCTTGGGAGATCGTTTCTCCCTTCCTGGCCTTGCTCCAGATGAATGAACCGGGGATTTGGCCTCGCGAAGCGTTCGGTTTGATCTACGAGGACTGGTGGGGTCCCTCTTTTTACCTCTTTCAGGACTGGTACGTTGTCTCTTGTAATCAGGTGATACTTTTCTTTTCCTATCCGGTGATCTCCGGCTTCCCATCCTTCTAGGAGACCAGCTGCGGGACCGGGTTTCTCTAGACCTTCGAGGTGATCGACTCCTCTTTGGAGACTTGCTTCTTAAAGGTGTTCTGCTTCTCCTTGGTGATGGGCTTCTTTGCGGTGATTTACTCTTCATTGGCATTCTACCACTCTTTGGTGATTTACTCTTTTCACGTGAATGCCCTCGTGGAGGTGACCGTTCTCTTACTGGAGAACTTATTCTGTGTGGAGATCTTCGTCTCTGTGAAGATCGACTTTTTCGGGGCGATCTTGACCGAGATCTTCGAACTCTACCTTTGAATATGGATGGCGTCATTTGTGGTGAGTCTTCTTTCACAATCTTTGTCTCACCTGAAGGTTCATCAGCTGTAGACTCCCAGAACTTTGAGTGAAGGGGAGATGACTTCTGAGGCTCACAGATCTCAGAAGAGTCTTCTGGATTGTCATCATCTTCCTCCTCAGATGGTTTGGCTTTCAAGCCTTCCTCCTCTTCTTCATGAACAAATTCTGGCAGAAGTCCCATCTGCAAACGTTTTACACTGCTCTGCTTAGAGGCACCTAACCTAAATGTAATTGGCACTGATCTTGAACTTTTCATAACTAAATCATCACTGGTAGTGTCCTTGGCCCGAGATTCATCAGTACATTTTTCAATCCATCTTGTGGTCACTTGGTTTGATGTGGCTGCAACTTCTTTATCTTCAACAGTTGGCTTTTCTTGGTTGGTATCTTTTTTCTTAAGAGAACTAGAGTCTTTGTCAAGACTCAACCTTGAACTAGGTACTGGGATTGCAGTTGGAGATAACAAAACTACAGGAGGGACATGTTTTTCCTGGGGTATTGGTGAGACTGATTTAGGGGAGTCAACTGTTAATCCAGATGGAGGAGCTAAAAGGGAGGACTCTGAAGGAGGATGGACTGCTGGACGAGGAACTGATGGAGGAGGAACAGACAATGCAAGGACTGATGGAGGAGGAACTGACAGATCTATTGATGGGGGAGGAACTGATAGAGGAATAAAACCTGGACGTGCTAAAGGCAGTGAAGAAGGAAATGGTAGTTTTGACGGTGAAGTGGAAGCCTGGGATGCTTGCAATGGCACATTCACTGGTCCAACTGGAGCACTGGGTAAGGGAAGAGCTGATGAGGCAGAAGCAGAGGTACTCTCTGTTCCGGGTTTTGAGTCAGGCAATTTTTTGTGCTCAGTTACTGATCCTGAAAAAGCTGACAATGAGTCGCCCTCGGAGGGAATATGCCCACGACGGGGTGGAGTAGAGAGGAGAGGAGCAGTGGGAGTTTTTGACTTTATACTAGGTGGTGGTAGTGAGGGCAATGGTATGCCAGCTGGGGGCATTGGAATTTTTTGGGGATCAGAAACAGGTGAGGCATGGCCTGAACATGCAGTGCCAGGCATGGGAGGTATTGGGATATTTTCAATGGAGGAAGAAGGAAGTGAAATATTAGGAGATGGGGAGGGCAGTGGAGAGATGGAAACAGAGGTAGGAGAAGAGGATGAAGGTGGACTTGAAGACATGGACATATTTGAAGGACTGTATCTCTCACTGTCTTGTTTAGTGGGGCCTTCATACTCATCTTCTTTATCAGAGGAAGAAGTAGCCGGGGGATAGGGAATATCATCTAACTTGAAGCTCATTAAATTTCCTGCAATTCTTTTCCGTTCCTTATATTTACTGCCGTGTAATTCACGCAAAGATCTCTCCACACTTGGTTTTTTAGAATAAGAATCAGATTCAGGACTGGACGAAGGACTAAAATCATAATAACCAGAAGTGTCACTCGTTGGACACTGACCAGACTCTCTTTCCTTGTTAGACTCTCTTGATGTGGCTGGTGGACTATACTGTGACAATGATTCTCTAGACCTCCAAGACTGACTAGTATTCCCACTTGACTCCTCTTGTTCCCAGCTTATTCTGTCCTTTTCTCTTCTCTTAGACATCACTACTTCCTTCTCTGTATCTGATAACTCATAAGCCTGTTCTATATGTAACTCTGGTGATGAGACAGGTGATGGTGGCTCCTCTTCATCTTTGTCTTCACACTCCTCATAATCCAACTCTTCTCTTATATCATCATCAGATACGTCACTGCTTTCTTTCACTGTCTCCTCCTCCTCCTCCTCTTCTTCCTCCTCCTCCTCTGCAGTTAGGTCAATTTCGATTTCACTTTCAGAGGGTCGTTTAGGAGGTGTATATGAAGGACTGTCATCATCATCATCATCATCTCTATATTCCTTTTCAACAGCTCTTTCTTTCCTAGTGTTACAATCAAAACTGTTTTCAATTTTTTCTTCTTTGTCTGTCTCCCCCCCTTTAGAGACACTCTCACTCTCATCATCAGAATCAGAATCTTCTTTTCTATCAGAGCTGCTCTCTTCCTCCTCTTGTTTTCTTGCCTTTTCTTTCTGGCGGATCATTTCTCTCCAGTCCATAAAGTCGTGTCTCTTTTCGAAGACTTTTTCTTTATGTGTCTCTCTTTTTACATGTCCCTTTTCGCGGACCATTTCTCTCCAGTCTTCAAGATCTTTCTGAACGTATTCTCTTTCTCGTGCAGATTCTCGTTTGTCACTTCCCTTTTCATGCACCGAATCCCTCCAATCTTCAGCCTCGTCTCTGTCGTAATCCCTTTCTCGAAGAGACTCTCTCCTTTCACGGGATGTCTCTCTCCTTTCACGGGACGTCTCTCTCCTATCATGGGATGAGTCTCTTCTCTCACGGGACATATCTCTCCTTTCATGGGATGAGTCTCCTCTCTCACGGGACATCTCCCTTCGTTCACGGGAAGTCTCTCTCCAATTCTCGTAATCATCTTTTCTATCATAGCTTCTCCCTCGATAACTGTCTCGTCTGTCACTTCCCTTTTCCCTCCATTCCTCATAATCATGTTTCCTATCATATCCTCTCTCACGATAGCCATACCTCCAGTCACCTTGTCTCCCTCGGAAATTTCCTCGCCTTCCCTCTGTGTAAAAGTTCCTATAATTTCCCCTCCCTCTCCATCCACGGCCTCTATCCCGGAATGTGCCCCTCCTATCGTAACCTCTGTCCCGGTATGCACTTCTCCTTTCTTCGTCATACCCAGTGTCCATATCTTTTTCTCTAGGTCGATCAGCTGACGAGTCACTTTCTACTTCAGACACTTCAGACTCACTGTCTTTGTCGCTGACTTTAGCCGATTTTTTCTTTTCCTTTTCTTTTTTCTTCAGTTCCTTTTTGGCTTTCTTCTCTTTCTTCTTTGCCTTCTTTTCCGCCTTTTTCTTCTTTTTCTTAGCTTTTTTCAATCGTTTCTTTTGCTTCTTTTCTAACTTTTCCTTTCTTTTCTTCTCTTCATCATCATATTTTTCTTCAATTATATTTTCCTCAACTTCTTCTTCCTCTTCTTCTATCTCAGACAAATCACTCTCCTCAGAGTTCTCGCTCTGATCTCTCTCATCATTTTCTTCCAAGCGATAATCCAATTTAGAACCCGACTCCCTCTCCTCTAAATACAGTTCTTCATCCTTTTCTTCTATCATTACATCAGAATCCTCTTCATCCTTCACATCACTTCGCACTGGTGATTCCTTCTTCTCTTCCTTCATTACTTTCTCATCTTTCACTGGCATTCCCCCATCCAGCATCTGCATGAAAGCCTCGTACTCTTCCGTCAGACCTTCCGGGAAAGGCTTGGCAGCTTCTTGTGACTTTTCACTTTTCAAGGTATTGGCAGCCTTTTCTGAGGAAACAAGAACCTTAGCAGTGACAACGGCAGCATCAGACTCGCTATCTCTGTCAATTTTAAGAACCTCTTTTTGTTTGGCAATGTCGTCTTCCTCTTCTGCTTCTTCTTCTGCTTCTTCATCCTCTTCTGCTTCTTCCTCTTCTGCTTCTTCATCATTTTCTTCTACTCCTCCCTCCTCTTCATCTTCCTCTTTTTCTTTTTTCTCAACACCAACACAAACTGTCTGTTCAACCTCCTCATTATCTGAATCCCAGCGTGATTTTGGAGCAGCGATGGTTACCTCTGCAACCTCCTCCTCGACCGGCATGACCGTAACAGCTGGTGATTCTTCTTTATTCCAAGACTTAGCGTACCATGGCCGTGAACCATTCTCTTTTTTGCCTCTATCATCCTTAACCGATGCTTGAGATTTGCTTGCCCAAAAATTTTCTAACATTTCCCAAGACTCTGCGGATTCTCTGCACTTAAGCTCATACCGTGAAAAATAATGAGCCTTGTACCGGTATGAATTTATGCTGTAAGATACAGATGGCTTACAAATGGTGTGATGTATTAGCTGTGCAGGATATTCTTTGTCCATGCCATTTAATCCTATAGCTTTAATTGGGTACATCATCCTAGTTTCTTCATACATTGCACCCTTATTCCTCTCACGACTAGTACTGCGGCTACGTCGCCTACGGTCTCTATCGCGACTTCGGGATCGACTGCGTCTTCTAAATTGTTGTCGACGGACTTGCCTCAGGAGTTCAAAGTTAAAATTTTCAGCCTTGAATTCCTTCCAAGATTTAGGCACATGCTTTGGCTTCCTCCTAGGTTCTTGCTTAACAATTTTAGACTCAATCCTTTCTTCCCTCTCATTTGAAATTAAATCAGCTTTCCTTTCTCTTTCTTTATCTCTTTCCTTGTCTTTAATCCTGTTTCTTTCTCTCTCTCTTTCAATAGCTTTCTCCCGTTCCCTTTTTCTATCAATCAGTGCCTTTTCTTTCAGTTTGAGACGTTCATTTTGTCTTGCTTCATATTGTTCCAACTTATGTTTCACTGACTTCCCTTTAGTTTCAAACTTCTTAAGCTCCTCTGGATTATCTAGAAGCTTAGCTATGTGAGATAAACCCGGCCCATATGGATTAAACAACACATTTTTCAACCCTAAAGCTTCCTTAAGTCTTGACTCCTCATCTCGAATTTGTTCAATAATGGACACTTTTTCTTCTTTCTTCTTCTTTCTAACTTGTCCTATTAATTTCTTCTTATCCATTCCCTCTTCTTCCTCTCCTAGAACAGACTTGGTGGAGGGTTTTGTGGTTTTGGTGAGTGAAAATGAGGATAACTTCATTCCCTTTCCAGAAAAAGCCAAGAGCCTCTTCTTAGCCTCCTGCTTCCCTAAAAGTTTTGGTAAATTTGTCTTTCCAATGATCTTGGTAACAGAGGTCACTGGCTCAGTTGAAGCAGAACTGGGAGATACAGTTGATGAAGTTGTGGAGGTGACAGGAAGAGCTACAGTGGGTGTAGATGAGGTAGGGACATTGGAGGTGATAACAGCAGAGGAAACAGAAGTGGTAGAAGATGTAAGAGAAGCAGTGGAAGAAGGAAGGGAAGTAGTACTAGTGGTGATGTCAGTAGCAAAAGATACAGGTGGGTCCCTGTCATCATCATCTGCTGTAACGCGACTTGGAGAGTATCTGCAAGAAAAATTGAGATACAGTATTTCATTTCCATAATAATAATAATAATAATAATAAGGAATTGATTTTTTATACAGTATTTACAAAAGATTCTGATTCACTGTTCTGTACATGTTGAATGAGAAAACAACATAAATTTACATAAATTGGCTGGAAAAAGTCTTGCTGCATGCTAGGAAAAATAGAATAAATGAAACTGAAACAATGCAACCTTAAGAGTGGAGACAATATGAGTGATTCTATAGACTGTAGATCACTGTATAGTAAAAAATGCCTAAACCTCATAACAATGATACATAAAAGACTCACCTCTCAGCAATAACTGGAGGAAAGACATTGCCAGGCATCCTGTTGAAGATGGGAGGTGGTCCCGGTAATCGTGGAGGAGGAGTTGTCATGAATGGTGGGGGAATGTTGAACATTGGAGGTGGCACTGACATATCTGGTGGAGGGCCAGGAGGCAGGAGGATCTGAGGAGGCGGTCTGGTGGGTGTAGCGAGTAAACCTGTCCCACGTCCTATATGAGGAGGAGGTCCTCTGGGACCTGGTCTACCTCCACCAGGGAGTGGAATCTCATCTGGTAATGGGATATCCATGGTGGACAAACTTCTGGTTGAATTGATGAATCTGTAGTTTCACTGTTCACCTGCAAATAACAAAAAAAAATACAATTAAACTTTACAACTGATTGAGGAGGGCTAATATTTGTTGGCCAATTAAACATGCCAGATAAAAGAGTTGTTTCTTGTTGCTTCCTGTATAATTGTACCGCTATATTTAATGGAGGGTTGCCATCAAGTAATCACAGCTAACCCACAAAAGCATAGTAAATGGTCATACAATGTTAATGATGGCAGTCACTTTGTGTATACAGTATTATTGTCTCGGAACTGTACATTAAAAAGCACATTTAAAGGTAAAATTTTACAATATTGTGATAAATAAATAGACTGGACATTTGCATTGGCAATTATAAAAAATGCCAAGAACTTAAGTGTGCTAAATACTGTAGTAAAGTTCAGAATAAACCTTTACTGCACTTACATTTAAAACAATGATACTATTTTTTCCCAAAGATAATTTTCAGCAAATTTTGCACACAACCCAAAAAATTTGTCCATGAGTAGTCTGGTCTGCCAAAGAGTTAAAATAATATTAAATACTGTACTGCACTGTACAGTTGTATTAATAAATACAATAAATACTCAACAATCCTTTTCCTATCATACATTATGACGGCAAGTATGAGATAGTACTCCTACAAACTGTTGTCGTGGTCCATTTGGTCCATTTTTCTCAAGTTTTCCACAATTACTACAGGTTGACAATCCCTTATCCGAAATCCTTGGGGCCAGATGCATTTCGAATTTCGGAATTTTTCGGATTTCAGAATGGTTAGGTTAGGTTTTTTTTTTCACAGGGATCAGCCCATCCGGGCACAGGTCACTGTCCCACATTGGGGTCTGGGGGGCAAAAATATAATAATAATAAAATTAATAATAATAATAATAATAATAATAATAATAATAATAATACAGTAATAATAATAATAATAATAATAATAATAATTCATAGGTCTACAGTAGGTCGTGTTTCTCACTTTTGATCTTTTTTTCATTCTTGTATTTCTTTATTATTATTATTATTATTATTATTATTATTATTATTATTATTATTATTATTATTATTATTATTTTTATTATTATTATTTTATTATTATTATTATTATTATTATTGTTATCACTATTATTTTATTTTTGTGTATTTTTAATTATGTACAGTACTGTAGAAATTTTATTTACAAAAGAAAATTATTATTATTATAATTATTATTACATTTTCGCCCCCAGGCCTGATGTGGGTCAGTGACTTGTGCCCGGGGAAAAAAAAAAAAAAAAAATTCGGTTTTCATTGGTTTTCGGATAAGGGGTTGTCAACCTGTACTGTACTCTCAACCAAATAATTTTTTACACTTGTCTCCACCTTATTTACAGACCATGGACTAAAAGAGAGCATTTTATCAAAAGAATAAAAAAAAAAATCAGTCGTGTGGGAAGCAATAAGGAGATGCAGGGCTAGAGGCCAAATGTACAATACTACAATGCTCTGGGACCTTGACCTTTGACACATGGACATAATCTAACATTGTACAGTGTCACATAAGGCACACCCAACTGGTAATTTTGCTCTTCAGACAAAAGGAAAAGAGGCATTGACCTTACGGCTTTGCCTACAAAAAATTTTGGTGGCTTGAGTTTTGGAAACAAATTTTTTATATTCATACAGATGCCCCATAAAGTAGGGATTTAAGAACCTTGGTACGCCTGCCCTGTGGAGCAACTCACAGAAACATATCACTGCAAATAACAAAATATTTTTATTAAGCTTTCCATCTCAGACCTCAGTGTCCTAACAAATAATGCAACTACATTGCCTCCCTACACTAAGTAAGAGGAGTACCGTACGTATATATATATATATATATATATATATATATATATATATATATATATATATATATATATATATATATATATATATATATATATATATATATATATATATATATATATATATATATATATAAACCCCCTGTACAGTATATATACATGCATACTTGAAGCAGTCAGGAGAAAGGAGGACACATATATCTGATGCCAAACTTTCCAACTCTTGCTGACCTTTACCCAATTACTGCCCCTGTATACCCTCTTTACCATCCTCCTCACATGCCCATTCCATCTCAGCAAGTCTCCTTGACCCTGTTACTCCACTCCACAATTACACTCCTCCTGCCTTTCTTAACATCCCATACACTTTACTATTTCTGTGCAGTAACAGGAAAGATGCTACCATATGTTTGTCAGCTAATAATACCTGTTCAAAGTGCAGTAATGGAACCCCAGTCAACCTTTCCATCATGACCATATTAGTACAGTACTGTACACCCTTTTCAATAGTTGCAGGGTGGAACAAATGGTAGGGTGGCACTACCCATGTAGTGATATCTCCATTAGCCACAACAATTGGTACAGAGCAGTTCTGGTAATGAGAAATTTCCCGGTAACGAGACATCTCTCTCAAAGCCGGGAAAAAAACCCTCATCCCTGGAATTTTCCGGGTAACAGAAAAATGTTCTCGGAAGTTCCAGAATGATGTATTATTTCATCTCTCAAAGCCGAAAAAATATCCCCCAACCTCGGAATTTTTTGGGTAATGGAAAAATGTTCTCTGAAGTTCCAGAATGATGTATTATTTCATCTCTCAAAGCCGAAAAAAATATCCCCCCATCCCTGGAATTTTCCGGGTACCGGAAAAATTTTCTCTGAATTTCAGGAAAAAGCGATTGATTTTCATCTCTCAAACCCGGAAAAAAATCCCCCGTCCCCAGAAACTGTTTGAATTTTCCAGGTATCGGGAAATTTTTTCTTCAGAATTTTCCTCAATGTACCCCCTGGAAAATCGCTCCCAAAGTCGGAATTTTCCAGATTTGGGAAAAATTTTCCCAAGAAAATTTAAATTTTGGCTATCAGAGAGTTCCGGGTTTGAGGGATTCCGGCTAACACTGCTGGAGACAGCTGGCAACTCAAGACCGTTTGTTTACTATAGTAAGTAGTATAATATAATACAAAACAACAAAGCCCAACCATTAATTTAAGCAACGGGGAACTAAGTAACCAATCACCAATAAATTTTACATTTATTCATAATTTTTACTACGTACTATAGTAAACAAACGGCCTTGAGATGCCAGCTGTCTCCAGCAGTGTTCAAAGAATCTTGAACGAGACTGTACAAAGTAGTGGGGGTGATGCAGCTGGTAGAGTGGTTGAGAACACAATACATCATCAAGCACAGTTTTCAGAGAAATTCCAAGAAAATGTCTCCGTTCTGTGCCTGAAAAACATTCTGGGAGTTCCAAGAGATTGCATCATGCTCTGACACATTCCCATGTGCCGAACTGTGTGAGTGGGCTAGCTACTTGGATAACTTGCCCGCTTAGTTCATAGTGTACAGTATATTTTGCTGCCATCGTACAAGGTTGTTCCCTCCCTAACTGCTGTTTTTGCACACAATTTGTGATGTACAATACTGTACCAGGACACACTCAGCCAAGAATACAGTGTTAAGATGTAAAAACCGATTACAGTCACATATACTGAGCTGTACATTCAGCAGAGTGGACAGTGTAAGCCTACTGTTGGCTAGTGTGTAGAGGTGTATGTATAGTACAGTGATCCCTCGGTTAATGAGCGCCTCATTTAACGAAATTTCGGTTGACGAATTACCTTCCATAAGATTCTTAACTTCGGTTAACGAGCATTCGATTAACGAATTCCTTACGAGCGCCCCTCAACATGTTTTCGCTTGGACACTAGCTGTCATATTAGTCTGCCAATACAGTAATCGGTTCTAGGGCTTAAATTCCTTACTATTTTAGTAAATATCAAGAAGTTTGTACTATTCAATAATTTTAAGTCTTATACAGTTAACCCTCACTTTACGCAGTCCCGCATTCCGCGTTTCCACGTTAACGCGGTGCCTTGCCAGAACCTCACGTGCTCACATTACGCGGTACGTGAACCCCATTACGCGGAGAGTGTCCGGCGCGACGCTATTTTTAGATTCGCCCCACCCACCACCCGCCCGCCTGCCTGCCTGCCTCTCCCTCCTCCTCCCTCCGCTTGGGCAAGCGGCGCGGTAAGGTTGCGCAGTGTGTGTCTTTGTTGCGTTATCACTGATGTCATATGACGTATCAGACCTGTGATTGGCCATGCATCCCTACCCCCCTCTGCTGCTAGCTGTAATTGGCTTAAAGTATTATGACATGTCCACCCGGGGGAGGGAGGGAGGGAGGGAGGAAAGACGACGCTTGACCTAGCCGCGGCAGTTTCATCCCTCAAGGCCACTCCGTGTAAACGCGCATCCATTGTTCCGTAAAATGGCTTCCGCCGGATCACCACCCCCAGAGAGAAACCTTTCCTTACCTGGACCCAGCGGCACTAAACCAAAGAAGACACGACGTTCCTTAAGCTACGAGGTGAAGTATAGCATCATCCAAGAGTTGGAGAAAGGAACAAGGCAGGTTGATTTGGCGCGCCAGCATGGCGTGAACGAATCTACGATCCGGACTATAAAGAAGGATTCAGCCAAGATAAAGGAGCACATGAAGATCACAAATTCTACAGGTGCTTCTATGATCAAGTATTTTCACAACCAGGTGCTTCTCAAGACAGAAAAATTACTTGTGAGGTACTTGGTGCGTCAGGCGCGACGGAACATGGCGGTCGACACGCGCTCTGTTAAGGACTACGCACGTGAACTGTACATGGCAGTGGCACGAAAGATGGGAACTTCAGAGCCAAACCCTTTAATGCTTCCTCTGGGTGGTTACAGAGGTTTAAGATCCGGAACAAGATCACCAATATAAACATTGGTGGTGAAGAAGCGAGTGCTGATCGTGCTGCGGCTCGGGAATTTCCTCCGTTTTTACGTGAGATTATGGAGGAAGGACAGTACAGTGACGACCAGGTGTTTAACATGGACGAATCTGGTCTTTTCTGGAAAAAACTACCTTCCAAGTCCTTCGTTGTGAAGAATGCCAGCATGATTCGGGGCCGGAAAATGCAGAAGGAACGCATCACC